GAATGACAGGCATGAACCACCGCGCCAGCATAATTAAAGCATAGCTTTTGGCCAGGCTTGGTGCCTCAGCCTATCATCCCAGCACTTTGGGAGGCTGAGGCGAGTAGATTGCCTGAGCCCAGGGGTTTGAGATCCACCCAGCCAACTTGGCAAGACCTCGTCTCTGCAATAAATCAAAAACTAGCTGGGCGTGGTAGCGTGCTCCTGTGGTTCAGGCTACTTGGAAGGCTGAGGCAGAAGGATCACTAGAGCCCAGCAGGGTTGATGCTGTGGTGGCCAGAAGCATGCCACTGCACTCCAGGCTGGGCGACAGAGTGAGACTCCAACTCAAAAAAAGAATAAATAAAGCATAGCTTTCAATAGAATGGTAATATGGTTTCAAAATATTTAGCCTAATAGTCCTCTTACAAGACCAGTATGTTTAATGTAATGTAGATCATGCAGGCACACAAGTGGCTCCTATAAGTTAAGTGTCCGGTGATTAAAAGATCTAAAAGAACCGGGCTCGGTGGCTCAGCCTGTCATCCCGTGCCTTTGGGAGGCTGAGGTGAGTGGATTGCTTGAGCCCGCGGGTTCAAGACCCACCTGGGCAGCGAGACCTCATCTCTACAATAAATAAAAAAATCAGCCGGGCGTGGTAGCACATGCCTGTAATTCCGGCTACTCGGAAGGCTGAGGTGGAAGGATCGCCGGAGCCCAGCAGGTCGAGGCTGCGGCGGCCGGGAGCGGCCACTGCACTCCAGTTTGGGCAACAGAGGGAGACTCCAACTCAAAAAAAAAAAAAGATCTAAAAGAGACCAACCTAAAGGATCCTAATAACAGAGATATTTTTAAATAATTTCATATAGGATATGTAAGTCCTTTAAATGTATAGGGAAATTTCACTATTAAACTTTAGAATTAGTTTGGCCTTTAAAGGTTGTTTGCTTCTGGTCTCTTATCTATGTGAGTAAACAAAACTTATAAAAATTCAAAGCATTGATGGGTTAGCAGCTTAAGAGAGAATGTAAACCGAAAGACAGGTCAGAAGGAATTATGCAGCATTCGGCATGGAGAAACGAGAGTGGGTAGAGACATAGTAGACAAAAGGAAGGCACCGCACGTGGGCTTACTAATGGAAGTTCTGAAAGAAGAGAGAGCGTGGGACAGGACAGTATGAAGAAAATGGCTGAAATCTGCTAGAACCGATGAAGGATATCTATCCTCATCAGGGGCACTTCGTTACCAAGGCCCTGAAGATAATAGCCAACGTTGCCCACATGTGAGATGCCAGAAGCAAGAGTGGAAGAACCACTTCCTGGTGCTGAAGGGGACACGACCATCAGGGCAAACAACACAAATACCTCTTCCCCCCTCCATCTCCTTGAAAGCAGTGTTTATGGTATCTGATTTTGGGTGAAGTTTATAACAACATCCTTCATTCAGATTGCCACCTGGTAGTGGATGGAATTAATTTAGTGAATCACATTCAGAAAATTTTTTAAAATAGAAGGACTCAAACATCAGATTACACTGAATCTAGTAAGGATAAGAATCGTTTCTCGGATCTCTGGGCATATATGCATGAGTATTGGTGTCTGCCTGACTGTATCAGCTCCTGATGTAAAACGTTTTTCTTTCTGTTGGTTTGGGGACTCTTGCAAAACATTAGCTTAAAGACTAAGCTAGTTACCCCCCCTCTGCTAAGCAGCATCAAGCTCCTCATAATAAACACCTATTAAGGGCCCGAATTAAATTTCAAGCAGGTGTCATGAGCTGCTCAGAGCCGCCGGTTTCATCTGTGTAAGGTAAGACGACAGCTCAGAGTGCAGTAGCAGTCCCTAAACAAGTAACATCCAGTTGACACTGCTAGGAAGTATAGGGTGCTCCTCCGCTGGCATCACAGATGTTAACTCACCCTGCCCTGCCTGTTGAGTCTCTGCAGAGTTCACAAATTGGGTGTTCCCCTTCTGTTTGAGATAGAACTTACAGCAAGTCAGCTTGGCTCCCCAGAAAAGTTAGCCATGCAGTATTCCTCTATGTAAAATCGGAATCTCAACTCTACGACTCAAGCAAGAGCTGAAAGTTGCTTCTCTGGATATTCTTTACTCACAAACTAGGTTGCAGCTTACAGAGCTGAATATTATCATTTAGTCACAATACATATGTGGTCTAATGCTCTTTAGAAGTGAATAAGGAGGGGGAAAGCCAAGAACCCATTGGAAAATAGGCCAAACCAGTCACAGGCTTTTTGATCATCTTCAGACTGGGTTGGAAAGAGAATGCACACACACATGCCTGATATAAGTGCATGATTTAATGTGTCGAGGATACTGAGCCTTATCGGAAGAGAACGGTCGCTCAGGGCAGGAACAGGTGCACCCTATCTCAGCACAGCTTTTCTGTGGTCCTTATTTACCTAGGGAAGATGAATAGCTGCCAGTAGCATTGTCTACACATGGCAGGGTCCCACCAAACCTGCAAACACAGCTGAATTTTTGTGTCACAAAACTTATACTCAGAATATTACCATTCATTCTAAATGAACACTGTGTGCATTTCAGTCTAGGGAAATGTTTACAATCATGTGGTTCTCTTTCTTCTCAGAAGTCAGGCCACCTCACTTGAAACACATCAGCAGCGCCCAGTTGTCCATCCCTTAATGGCATCTCTTCCTCCAGCTTTCTAGAAGTTCTTCTTGCGGATTGTGGAAGACAGACTCTCGGGAGTCCTTGCTGTTGTAATTTGCTCCACCAGAAATTTACACCTTTGTATAATCACCTCCCTTTGAGGTTCACCTAATGAGTTATTTTTAGCCAGTGGAATAAAACGGTGCTGGTAGTTCCAGGAGATCGTGCCTTCTGTCTCGCTCGCAGACACTTGGTGCCTTCTCTGCTCGCACACTTGGATGAAGCAAGCCACCACACTGTCACCATACTGTCACCATTTAGTATGGTCTCTGGCTTCCTCATGCCACACGGCAGAGGTGAGAGATGAGATGTGGGAAGGACCTGAGCCCAACGGGAAGTAGAAAACAGAGACGGCCAGGCCGGCAGCCTTGAACTGGGTTCTGTCCAACGGCACACAGATTCGGAAGCGGATCCCTCTCCACTCCAGCCTTCAGCCCTACCAGCATCTTGCTTTCAGCCCTTTGAGGACTCTGAAACAATAATTCCTGATCTCCCGATCCACAGAAACTGTAAAATAACAAATATGTATTGTTCTAAGCCACTAAGTTTGTGGTAATTTGTTATATAGCCGTTTAATCCACAGATGAAATTAGACAGTTAAAAAAAAGAAATGAAAATGCTTGTAACTATAGACTTTGTTCATTTAGAATTTGAAAAGGCTTCTCTGCACGAGATTCAGCTGTGATGCATATATATGTGTGAATTCACAGAAAGTTCTCTGGAAAGGCAATATGAAATTTAATTTATCCACGAGGATGAAAACCTGTGTGCTCACAAAAACCCATGCACAAGCCTTGTGCATATATTAAAAACACTGAATTGTACACTTAAAAGGAGAATTTTGTGGCATATGAATTGTATGTCAAAAAAAAAAATTTTTTTTTTTTGAGTTGGAGTCTCACTGTGCCAAAACTGGAGTGCAGCAGCCGCTCCCCGCTACCGCAGCCTCGACCTGCTGAGCTCCAGCGATCCTTCCGCCTCAGCCTTCCGAGTAGCTGGAACTACAGGCGCGTGCTACCACGCCTGGCTAATTTTTTTATTTATTGTAGAGATGAGGTCTCACCAAGTTGCCCAGGCGGGTCTCGAACCCGTGGGCTTAGGCAATCCACTCATCTCAGCCTCCCAAGATGTGGGATTATAGGCTGAGCCACCGAGCCCGACTATAAACCTGATTTTGAAGCGGTTAAAACATTGTTTTTATTTGTTTTGTTCTAGTTTTGAGGTTTACCATAAATCTATTGGTTTTAGATTCCAAGTTGCATGAAAGCTTCTGTTTTAAAAGAATAAAAAAATTATCCTTATTGTCAAAAATATTTAGTTGTGCTTTGAACTGTATTTGGGAATTGTCTGATAGAGAAAGAAAATAAACAATGTTCAAGAGCAGATACTGATTTGTAACATTGAAGTATGGTATGAGAAAGTAGTGTTTAGAACAGTGAAGGAATTTTTATATTCTGACAACTTTGTTTATTTGTAGCGAATAATTTCTGGGCCTGCACAGTGGCTCATGCCAAAAATTCAGCACTGGGAGGCTAAGGAGAGTGGATTGCCCGAACCTAGGGGTTCAAGACCAGCCTGGGCAACTTGGTGAGACGTTGCCTCTACAATAAATCAAAAAATTAGCTGGACGTGGTGTTGCATGCCTGTAGTTCCGGCTACTTGGAAGGCTGAGGCAGAAGGATCGCCTGAGCCCAGCAGGTCGAGGCTGTGGTGGTCGTAAGCATGCCACTGCACTCCAGCCTGGGCAACAGAGTGAGACACCAACTCAAAAAAAAAAAAGAACGTTAAAGATGGGGGGAAAGAGAAATTTTAAATAGTAACGTGTCTAAAGAATTGCATATAATCAGTGAAAAAGACATTATTTGCTCATATTGTAGAGTGCTTCTAGAATATAGATCTCACATTGAAAAAATTTAATACTTTTTTTTTTAACTTTCCAAAGGTGAGGAAGAAAATGTTTCCCGTTCTTCCGGATGGGCGTCCTATCTGCACAGTTGGTCTGGACTTCGATAGACTGTTGGAAAGAAAAGTTTGATTAAGCAAATAGAATCCATTTTGCAAAAATGACTCATGTATATTATTGTCATTCTCTTGTCCAAGAAGTATATATATATATGCTCACAGCTACATATAGTTGTACATACATATGACAGATGTATTTTTAATGTCTCAGCTTGAAATGTAGATAACAGTCCACGGCCCTCTAGCTCATGTGATCTCCCATGCATGCCGCCAGAATAAAAACACAAGAATGGGCACCAAACACAGTGGCTCACACCTGTAGTCCCAGCACTTTGGGAGGCAGATGAGAAGATAGCCTGAGCCCAGGGGCTTGAAACCCACCTGGACAACTTGGCAAGACCTCATCTCTACAATAAAAAAAAAAAAATTAACTGGGCATGATGGTGCACACCTCTAGTTCCAACTTCTTGGAAAGCTGAGGTGGAAGAATTGCCTGAGTCCAGCAGGCTGAGGCTGCAGTGACTGTGAGCATGCCACTGCACTCCAGCCTGGGCAACAGAGTGATACTCTGACTCAAAAAAACCCCAAAAAGAATGACTTCACTCCCTCCTTCTCTGGAACCTCAGGACTCATCGGTTTCTTGGTGGTACTGTGAATTTTGAAGTTAGACTAAATTTTGGTACCATGGCAACTGGAATCTAGACTTTTAAAGTAATGTTTCAAGACTTTATTGCAAGATCAGATCTGCGGATCGTTGTTAATTATAAATTGTTGAGAAAATTTGGTTGGCATATGAAGGAAAATCTTTTATGGTAAAGGTGATTTATGTTTATTTAAGGGGCTATGAAGTAAATATGCTGCAGTGAATTATAACTTGAAGGTAGAATGCAATTTATTTAGTCATTTGCTTTAAAATGAGCTTTTAAAAAATATATATTTTATCTCTTATTTCATTCTGTTGTCAGAAGTCCTTATACTAGCTGGTGTACCACGTACAATGAGCAGATGGGACCACTGGGGTATGATTTCATGGTGTCTCTCCAAGCTCATTATGGTGCCCCTGACTTGCAAGCCATGAGTCTGTTTGAGGAATCCTCTTCATTTCCCCAGCTAAAAACGTATCACAGTGGCCGGGCGCGGTGGCTCAAGCCTGTAATCCCAGCACTTTGGGAGGCCAAGGCAAGAGAATTGCCTGGGTCCAGGGGTTCGAGACCAGCCTGGACAACTTGGTGAGACCTCATCTCTATGATAAATCAAAAGAATAAATTAGCTGGGCGTGATGGTGCATGCCTGTGTTTCCAGCTATTTGGAAGGCTGAGGCGGAAGGATCACCTGAGCCCAGTCAAGGCTGCAGTAGCTGTGAGCATGCCACTGCACTCTAACCGGGGCAACAGAGTGAGACTCCGACCCTTAAATAAACAAAAAAAAATCACAGCAATGACTGTATTTGTCAAGGTTGTGTCTAAACATGAAACTGTGCTTCCAGTTTTTCGGCAGTTGGTATTGTTCCGTAAGCTTTCCATCAGAAGGGATTTTAGGAAGACACCTTTATAGGTCAGTGTTACATCTTCACGGTTCTTGCGAATAACCCTAGATGGTTGTGTTACTGGCCTTTGATGCCTCTGCATATGTTTTAATGACGAGATCAAAACTGTTCTTAAATCAAAAATTTGAGAATTCTGTTTTTAACATATGTTGATAAGTCACTATGCTGTATGCACTCTGAAGTTCTAAGCCTTGTAATTTATGCTCTTAATTTTCACTTTAGCTGTAGAACTGACTTTGTACCTTGGTTACATAGAATATTGGTTTCCCAATTTAGTTTAACTGAAATTTGCTGCTGATACATTGAGATTGTTCTTTAAAAACGATCTCATAACCAGGCTCGGTGGCTCAGCCTGTAATCCCAGCACTTTGGGAGGCCGAGGCGAGAGGATGGCCTGAGCCCAGGGGTTCGAGACCAGCCCGGGCAGCTTGGGGAGACTTCGTCCCCGCAATATATCTGAAGATTAGGCGTGGTAGCACGCGCCTGTAGTTCTGGCTGCTTGGAAGGCCGAGGCAGAGGGATCACCTGAGCCCAGCGGGTCGATGCGGGGTTTGCCGTGAGCGTGCCACTGCACTCCAGCCTGGGCGGCAGAGTGAGACTCTGACTCCAAGAAAGAAAATGCATCTATTTCAGAGCTGACTTTAAGAGTATAATTTTTTTACTTTATATACTGTGAACATGAGTATGCAGCCACATGCAATGTAATTGTAATAGTATTTAAGTGAGGTTCACTTTCTCTGACTCCAAGCCTTTTGAAGTCTGTATAAACTTGTTCTGAAATATAGTCTCTACTTTTGAATGTAATAAAAATACCTTTTTGCATGGTCAAAAAAATTATTACTTTGATTACAAGAGGCATATTCTTTCATGGTTTCAGCAATGAGAGGAAGTGTAATTATTTTAATATTTCTATTAAATGTTTAACTGTACGTTATAGCTTTATGGCTGCTCTTTTTCTGTTGGGCACTGTCTCTGGGTTTTTAACTGGTCTACAAGATGGAATTGCAAACCCCTTACTACCGTCCTTGGCCACGTGGGCCTATTGGGCACTTGGGAGGACAGACTGACCCTTTGGTACGTGCCATGCTGACCGTGGCACCTGCCGTGTCTGACACCCTCCTTCCAGCTAAAACTGGAAGCAATGCTGGGCCTTTTTTGGGCAAGACAGACACGATTTGACCAGAAGCAGGAGTCTGACTGAGGCTGTGGAGGCTGCCAACCACGGGGGCCTCTGTTGAAGGGCTCTGTTCGCTTCTTTAGGAGTCTGGACTGAGAAATGGGAGAGCAGAGCAGAGAGGAGAACACAGCAGCCACAAGAAAGACACGCTGAGCTGGCCTGGGAAGGACTGGCCACACAACCAGGGTGGGTAGCCACTTCCTAGCCCTGGGCCAGGTGCACACGTCACTGCTCGGTTTTTAGAGCAGTCCCCCCCACCAGAACAAAATGGTCCTGGAGGAGTGAGACTGAGGCACAAGCGTTCAAGCTCCACCCTCTGTAATTTTTTTTGTTTTGTTTTTTGAGTCGGAGTCTCACTCTGTCGCCCAGACTGGAGTGCAGCGGCCGCTCCCGGCCACCGCAGCCTCGACCCACTGGGCTCTGGCGATCCTTCCGCCTCCGCCTTCCGAGTAGCTGGAATTACAGGCCTGCGCCACCACGCCCGGCTGATTTTTTGATTTATTGTAGAGATGAGGTCTCGCCAAGTTGCCCAGGTGGGTCTCGAACCCATGGGCTCCGGCAATTCACTCACCTCAGCCTCCCAAGGCGTGGGATGACAGGCTGAGCCACTGAGCCCGGCTGACACACTTTTTAAAAAGTGTTCACATTATATGATTAAATTGCAACAGAGTGGTTTCAACGTGATAGAAGATTTCTATTTAGCCTTGGTATCTGAAAATAAGCTTTGCTTCAAAATTAATACACACCAAGGAAAACAACCCGATACAATTTTACAGGTGTCTGAGCTAGTTCTCATCCATGAGTTTAAAAGCATTTAGATATTTATGTATAAATTACATGTAGAAAAAATCTGTTTCATTTACATTAAAAATGTGACTACAGGCTGGGCTCGGTGGCTCAACCTGTAATCCCAGCGCTTTGGGAGGCTGAGGTGAGTGGATTGCCTGAGCCCATGGGTTCGAGACCAGCCCGGGCAACTTG